AGGCTATGGAAGAAAACTGTCATGTGGTGCATGTGTCAAGGTGGCTGCCCAGGAAGTTTCCAAAGTAATTTTCTTTCGTTTACCTTTTGCAGGGATTGAATGTTTTTGGAGCACAAATGTGTGTGTTAGATTGCAGGCCACATGCTCTGGGGTGTCATTCTTATTGGGCCTTTCTGTCTCTTTTATTTTGCAACCCAAATGAGATATCTGGAAAAAGGCAAGAGCTCCCATTTCCTAAATTTCACACAAGTCAATTCAGCTCTCAGAGCAACAGGTAACTGCCTAAAACGCCTTCGGTGGCTCTGATTCACTGTCCTTTATATTGCTGACCTCCAGCATCACCAGAACTCTCTTGCTATAACTCACTGACTCATTGAACATTTCCCTGGCTGGGCATTGTACAGTAATTTTTATGCAGCAGCTTTGCCTCGCTTTCCTCATGAAGCTATCGTCTGCTGAAACTTTTCTAAGTAGGCCGAATTCATTTGCTCACAAAATCTCATTTGAGGGAAATAATTCAATCTAAACTGCTGCTGGCTTTCAGGGCTGTGCTTACTACATTGCTTCAGCACATAATGCAACTTTCCTAATGCTATTTGAATAAATAATACAAATCCAAAGGTCACGAGAACTGTGTAGCGGGGGCATTTGGGGAGGTGTGGGATTTTTTGTGGGTCAAAGGGTCACAGCTCAAAAGCTGTTTTTCCCATTTAACATGACTAACCCTCACAGTTAACTCCTTAGAACACCTTAAAGGGAGGCCAATGGTACTTTGTCAGACTGGCTTACAGCTTCCCGTCACTCACTGGTGAAGAATGACCCTGCACCTGAAGGTGGCCATCATGGCCTCTGGCCAAAGTGTGTGATCCAGGGATGTCTTTGCCACTGGGACCCTCCCTTGTGCAGAAATATGAGAAAATAAATGCACCTTCCCAATTCTAGGCACCATCACAGCAACCAGTGGAACAGTGGAACAGCTCTTCCTGCCAAAGGGGTTGTCCCAAGCGACAGTGGTCACATTCCAGCACCAACAGGACTTCACCTGAGCAGCCCTGTCAGCCACATCCCAGGACCAAGGGACACTTTCAAAAGTGCCTTTAGCTAATGAGAACCTGTATCTAGAGCGGAGACAACTTACAGGCCCCCCTAAAACTTTTGCTTGGTGCTACTTCTGCCCAGGGCTGCCCTGACTTAAGTACAGATACAGGTGCCGGTAGTTGGAGACTGCTCAGACCAAGATGAACCAGCCACTCAGCCAGCTGTCACTTCCTGAGGCAAAAGCCTCCTTCAAAGTCTGGCCCAATGTTTTACTCTGGACAGCTTGCTAAAGTTGGCAAAGGAAGGAAGCCTCCATAGACCTCAGCTAGAATCCCAGGTCTGGCAGAGACCTCAGGAGTCATGGAGTCCAGCCCCCTACCCAAAGCAAGATCAATGAAGTCAACCCAGCCAGGGCTTTGTCAAGCTGGGACATAAACACCTCTAGGGATGGGGATTCCACCCCCTCCCTAGGGAACCCAGCCCAGGGCTTCAATCCCCTTCCTAGGGAAATAGTTGTTCTTAAGCTCCAACCTAGACCTCCCCACTCCCTTCCTTACTTGAAATGCAGAGAATGTCCTGGCTAGTTGTCGTAAGAAAGCACCAGCTGTCGCCCTCTTTTGCACTGTGTGAGTACCACTGCTCTTCTGAGTTTCTGTTTGTCCAGGACTAGATCTTGGAAGCACATTGTTTAGTCAAATGTGAAAATGTAGTTGGTCCTTTTTTTACACAGTGCTAATAAATGGAAGAGAACTGGCCTGTTCTAGCTCGTATCACTGCGAGACTGTCACCAAATAAAGATGGCAACTAATCATGAAATGATCTTTTTTTTAAATTATGGAAATATTAAACTGGACTAAAGGCTGTTGCTTGTCACCGAGGTATCGACTTTCCAGGAGGGTTTCATTGTGCACTTTATATGTGACAAACTGACAAGGCTTCTGAATGAACTACTGGACGCACACAAAAGTTCAAAAATATTAATTCAGGTTCACTTTAGAGCAGGTCAGAGCTCTTTGGTCCTTAGAATATCAGCCTTAGCTGTACACTTCATGATTGCTGTTTGTCTTACAACTTCAATGCTGTTGAGGCATATTCTTTGTATTAACATACATTACAAATAAATGGCTACCTGCACAAACATGCACTCTTCATTCCTTCCCCCTCCCCACACACACACGGCTAATAGCTATGTGGGAATATTTAACACATTTTAAAAGTATTAACATTAGCATCATATTCAAATTGTTTTCAAAATGCTGTAGAATACAAGACTGTGAAGCACATGTTGTCTGTGAATGTATTTGTGCACTCTGCAGCTTCTTTCAAGCAGCACTACAGTTCCAAATTTGTATAAGCTTACAAACCTTGTAACCAGTACAGGACTCAATTGACCAAGGTATTGCATATTTGTGAACAGGATCTGTACTAGTGCAAATATTGAATGCTACAGTAAGCAACTTGCATTAGCATGCATATCCCAATTAAACAGGTCTGCACCAGTACAGATGTTGCATGTCTTAGGTTGAAGTTGGCAGCAAAGCATGTCTTGCATTTTTCCAGCAGAAGTGTGCTCTGTTAGTGTAGAATTTGCATGTTGAAGTGCGAAACATGGATACAGCATGTGGCAGTAAGAGCCATAGCTTACCAATTTTGCATGTTCTCAATGAGCTCTATAGTAATAACAGGTGAATTTTATATTACAGTAAGATAGGTGCAACTGAAAAATGTACTTACACTAGAAGTCCTGTATTGTAGGTGCATATGTGTGATTAGCCTCAAAATTAAAGATGAACTAGTGTACATCGAGGCAGAAGTAACTTTTCACTTTCCTGCTACAAGGAAAGAAAGCTTGAGTTTTACTAATTAAGAATATTCTGAGTTTGTGTGTGTGTGTTTGTAAGTACAGCATTATAAATTCTCTCTATTGGTTTTGCACATGTGTATCCTGTAATACATATACAACAGTGCCACCAGATAATTAGCAGAACAAAGTAAACTGCCGAGAGAGACTAGGGAGTAATCTCCATAGGGCACAGAATGGAGAATTCCTCCCGGGCAACTGGCATGAAATCCTGGATCCATTGCAGCCGATGGAAGTCCTGCCCGTGACATCATTGGACCCAGGATTGCATCTTAATTCATCTTTCACGTCAGCGATGCTTTGACTACACGACCAGATTGAATCGCTCCTTTCCAACGCTGGGGGTCCCTGAGCCATGACTGGAATGGAATTCCAGTGTTGTTCCGAATGTGCTTGAGAGCTCACTTTCAGCCACAGATCATGTTGCTAGTGTAGACAGGACTTAGAGTCCTGCAACATGTGATGAGCTACTGCAGCCTCTTTCCATTTTTGATCAGCAACACCCAGCATCTTTCCAAGCTTGTAATTCTCAAACACTGCAGTAAAATCTTATTTTTACTAAACAGTTAGTACAGTTTTAAATGCTGTGTGAGCCATTCAGTCACTGCTGGAACCCAGTGCCCCTTTCCTGTGTGTCACAAGCGTACAGGATATCCCGAATGCTAGAGCTATGATTTAGCTGACTGTTTAAACCACACAGCTAAAACACCAAATAGCTCTGTATTGGCTACATGTCTACATAGGTACACATACAAAAAGTTGTTGCACATTTGCATATTGATGTGTAACTGAGCCAAATTCCAAAATGTGAAAGTTTATTTTAGTTACACGTCAATATGCAAATATAACTGAGTCTAATTTGACATAGGGGGGCAAAAGGTAATACAGTGGTGGATACCTACTTTAATTTACACTCTCCTCTTAGTTGCTATTTCTGCTCGGTGCCTCTGTTCTATCCCCTAGCATCTAAAGTTTGCTAACCTATGGCTCTGTTATGTTCATTCAGGTTAGTTGGATTCCCTTATGCTCTTACAGTTTTGAAACTTACAATATTTATAAAGCACCTCTGAATTTGTCCCTTTCTGGTATCTGCAGTTGTTAATTTTAGTCACTTCTAGAAAACCCCAGTGAAGTACCCTTGCTTTCTGTGCTGTTAGGCAAGTAGTGGGCTTAATGGGCTCCAGGCGTGACACAGATTGTATTTAACGTGTTAATTTTCAATTTCCCCATACTGTCATATTTAAGTAAATTTATATAATACAGCTCTTTAAATGATTATCTAGCTCCAATGAGGGTAGGTGCTTCTCAGCTCAATGAATGAATTTCTAAAGTGTTGGTAACTGTGGCAGCTGAATGCTCTTTACAAAGTCTGTACAAGGAATAGCCCTTTCATCCTCTCTCAGACATTTGAATATGAAAGATCAGGCTCTATGGAGAAATTGTTCCCCCTGACTGAGGGTTATGAAGACACAAATAAATCTATCCCACAAGTAACCAGACTGTTCAGATGCTGACTGAGAGACTGAAACAACATGTTGAAGGAATGTATCTAAACTTACATTGATGCCAGTATAAATTGCATACACACACATGTAAATTCTACTAATCTAAATGTACTGTATAAATTAAGTAGAAATTTACCATGGAAGTCTGGAATATAGCTGTTCTCCCCACAATGCTGGGTGCAGCAGGTAGCATCTTTCCATGTTCAGTGTCCTACTTAGAAAAGAAGGCATCACAGAAAGTGTGTTTTGCTCAAATTATCTGGTACGAGACAGCAGCATCAAAGTAGCTTATGAAAAGCAGTCATAAAAGCCAAGTAATTAGATCAGATGATTTGATAATTGAATGAATGTGGGTATTAAATAAAGTTGTCCAGAAATGAGTTGCAAAAGGTGAATTTTTTTCTCCTGAATAGTTTTTTCTCTCCTCCCCTGGTTCCCAATTGTTTATGGAGAGAGTCTTTCTAATTAATACTGTACTCCTGAATTTTCTTCAGGTGATAGCTACTTCATACTGCGAGGTGTAGTGAGGGACCCTTTGACTTTCTTTCACCTGTTGAATTTCTTTTGGAAATAGAAATGCCTTTTTATTGTTTCAGAGTGAAAGAATTGAAAAAGGCCAAGGAACCTGAAGATACACAGCAGCATCCCGTAGCAATGTGACATTGCTTTTCAGACTGTTTTCATTTTCTGTTTTTAGCAGAGACATGCAACAAAAACCCACTGCAGTTCTGGGAATCTCAGCTGCAGAATTTTAACAGTAATGTTTTGGTCATTGCATTTGCACTTTCATGGACAATTTTTAATTTGTTCAGCAAGACATCTTGGAACTCAATCTTCTGTTGGATCATGGGAAAAAAGACACCAGGAGGAATTTGTGAGTTGCTTCATTCTCTCCGAAAGAAGCGATTAATTATTCTTTTCATATAGGGCTGTATTAAAACGTGTGGAACTGTACAAATATTATACCAAAAATATTGTTAAGGAAAGGTGGGAATGCACAAGCAACACAAGAATGCTATTCCTGCACCTGTCAATCATCTCCAAGAAACTGAAGCTTCAAGATTCAGTGGAGGGGCTTAGATCAGTAAATCTTTATTGGGTACATGCATTTTCATTTCCTTTGCACGTCTGTCCTTTCTTTTTATTTGAATCTCTCTACAGCACACTTAATGCAACTTTTTAAATCTGCAGGTTTTTAATACATCCCGTGGAAATTTACAGAGTGGGTTGGTGTATGAGGTAAACGGGTAATGCATGGGAAATAAAGAGAGCAGCTTGAGCAAGTTTTTAAAATTTCCTTTATTGGTATTTTTTCTAGAACCTGCAAGTATATCAAGTGTCATGTACTTTTTCTCATATTCAGCACTTTATTTTCTGGCCTTACTGTTAATTATTTACATAAAATAGTTTGTAACGCGTGTAGCGCTTTTTTTGTTTAAGTAATTTTGTTGTTCTGAGCAGTCACGAACATATGTTGCCTGGACACTTATACCACCTAAAGATCAGAGTGGTGCTCCATCCTGGCCAGTAAATTCCTTATTTTGGCTATTTCATCAAAATCTAGGCAGTTTCTGTATATATAGAAGGTAGAAATGGAATATGAGAAATAATATTTGAAAGGGAATATATTGATTAATTACTAAATATTTTATTCACAAAGGGTCAATAACTTGGCAAGATAAAATTATTATTTGTATAGTTTTGTCTGAATGAGCGAAAAGAGTGGATGTATTGTTTGTATATACTGTATATATTAAAACAGAGATATGTGCATGAATTCAAGAAAAAAGAAATGAAAAAAGCAAAGCATTAGTGGCTATGGTCTGTAAAATGAAACAAAAACTTTATTTCACTATAAGAAACTTTATTTTAAATGTTCTTTAGAAGAACATTTTGCTAAAGCATGATTAAACTGCAAAAAAAAAAGAGCTACTGTATTTAGACTTAGGAAAAAAAGGCAGAGTAACATTACTAAAAAAGGATATGTTTACATTTGATTTTGGCTACCAGGAGGTTTATTTTATTTTATTTTATTTTTATTTTTTGCCAATGGTGCCAAGTAATGTGAATGCTAATATTGCTTAAGAAGTTACTTTTGCAAAGCAGATAATCATAAGAATACAAAAATGTATCTAGCTTAACACCATACACTCACTCCAATAAAGAACACTTAGAATGAACATAAACTGAAAAAAGAAATAGTATGAAAGTAGAATATGTTTCACATTTTCATATCTCCTGCTGGAAGTCAGAAAATGTAATAAAAATGCACAAAAATTTTAAAAAATAAAAATAAGTAAATCTTAAAAGTTGCAAACTGGTCTTGTAGGGGTGTCATGGTATATTGCTATTTCCACATAGTGAGGAGCCAAAGAAATCAGATATTTTAAAACTGAAATACTAATTAAAAATTATTATGATGCTTAGATGATAGAGGACTGATCTTAATTACACTAGTATATATCAGGAATAATTCTCCTGTAGTCAGTGCAGTTACTCTGGATTTACACAGGCATAGCTGAAATCTGAAACTGCTTCTGTGGGTTTATGTTGCTAGTACCAGTTTAAAATTTCCAAATGGTTGGTGTAAATTTTAGACGTTTAGTTTCATAATAGTTGCTCTTACTTGATCCTGGCCACCAATTAAACTGTTCAAACTCCAGGCTTTTTGTGAAGCCTAAAAATATTCACAAATGAGAAGCTTATAAACTGGTATCTTTAAAAGAAGAGTAATCACAAAGATTGTGGCAAAAAATGGGGTCAGTGCTCTTGGTGCCTTTTCTATAATTGTACCTGGTTTTTAATTACTTCTGTTCACTGCCAGCATTGAATTACAATATGTGTGCTATATAGCTCATTATCAGAACTCTGTATACATTTGTGAACTGCTGCTTTATGACCTGGTTCAGTTAAAAATAATTGTCTGGCTCTCACACTTTGGCGGTGGCAGCCTCATAATTTCCATTTATTTTACTGAAATGGAACCTTACATATTAAGTTACCACACACACAGAATGGGAACCCAATATGAAAGTAAACTCCTTTTGGAATGAACTGGAATGCTCTGTATTAATACTGGAAATACTCTGTCATTCTGAAACATAAATGTTTGTCCTATTGACTAGCATTATGATAATTATTGAACTTTTCATAATAAAAGTAATTACCTCAGTGGATTCATTTTAATCCCTTATATTTATACTAAAAATTTTCAGTAAAATACAGAGCTATTTCAGGTTACCCTTCCGGATCCATGGGCCTGGTGGTGTATCTGCTTATAAAGACCCTGATACAGCAAAACATTTACAAACATGCTTAATACATTACGCATATGAGTGGTTCCATTAACTTAATGGGACTACTCACAAGCTTAAAATTAAGTAGATCCTTAAATACTTTGCTGAACTGGGTTGTAATACTCTTCCATTGAAAAAACTTTTCTGCTTACCCTTTTCGTGACTGTGGAACTTATTTCTGATAGAAGATACATAAGTGCAGCTTTCTTCGATAATCGGAATTCCCAAGTGCCAGGAGCAGGCCCTTCTTCTGCATCCTGAAAATGGAATTGCTCCTTTGTTTAACACATCCGACAAGAGTAATACTGTGTGAAAGAAATAAAGAATATAACATGATCTCCCTATATGGTTGCACGCTTACAGCAGTTCCACACAGTAGTTGGTGCCCAACAGGGGGTCCCCAAGACTTGCATGTAAAACTAGTATAGATGTCTCTTTTTGTAAGTTTTATTTTTGTAACTGTGCATGTAAAGCATCACTGAATCAATGGATCTGTTGAAGAACTCAGCTGCTGGAACCATGCAAAATGTTTTGAATTGCCCTTAAAATATGGAAAATGTTTTCTGAATGCTTTATATTCTTTCTGCTGTAAATTAAAAACAAAGAAAATTTCCCCATACTAAGTGTATTTCTTTTAACATTCTCTTCCATTTTCATTACGAAGGACCTGTAGATTTTTCAAGTAATTATAAATATCCTTGTAAAGTTTAGATCTCTGTCACACACTTAGAAGACGTACCTGTAAACTCAGGTAAGTCCTGCACTTGAGATGGAAGAATCCCAAGCATTGTTACAGGCTGGGGACTGAATGGCTAAGTAGCCGTTCAGCAGAACAGGACCTGGGGGTTACAGTGGATGAGAAGCTGGAGATGCGTCAGCAGTGTGCCCTTGTGGCCAAGAAGGCTAATGGCATATTCGGTTGCATTAGGAGGAGCATTGCCAGCAGATCCAGAGAAGTGATTATTTCCCTTTATTCAGCTCTGGTGAGGTCACATCTGGAATGTTGTGTCTAGTTCTGGGCCCCCCACTACAGAGAGGATGTGGACGCATTGGAGAGGGTCCAGCAGAGGATGACCAAAATGATGAGGGAGCTGGAGCACGTGATCTATGAGGAGAGGCTGAGGGATTTGGGTTTGTTTAGGCTGCAGAAGCGAAGAGTGAGGGGGGATTTGAGAGCAGCCTTCAACTTCCTGAAGGGAGGTTCCAGAGAGGATGGAGAGAGGCTGTTCACAGGAGTGACAGATAGTGGAACAAGGAGCAATGGGTTCAAGTCACAGTGGGGGAGGTCCAGGTTGGATATTAGGAAAAACTTTTTCACTAGGAGGGTGGTGAAGCAATGGAATGGGTTACCTAGGGATGGGGTGGAACCTCCATCCCTAGGGGTGTTTAAGTCTCGGCTTGACAAAGCCCTGGCTGGGTTGATTTAGTTGGGATTGGTCTTGCCTTGGGCAGGGGGCTGGACTTGATGACCTCCTGAGGTCTCTTCCAGTTCTATGATTCTATGAAGCAGTCCCCGCTCGCGCCATTTCCTGCTGTGCCTCTGCCTCCCCTGTTGCCCACAGAGACAGTGCTGGGGGGAAACAGCTTTATCAGTTCCCCGCCAACACCATCTCCAT